AAAATTATGCTAAGTGTCCCAGGCCACTGACTCCTCTGGGAGACTCTTGGCTGTCATTAAGAGTTGCCTGACTTGAACAGGGGTCCACAGTGTCAGCCGCTATCAGAAGCCATTCAGAAGCACTGTTGCCTGAGGAGTGGCTGTGTAGTTCTTTACCCAGTGACTATCTTGTATGCAGAGAAGAGAAAGCCTATTGTCATTACAATTTAACCACAACCTCCTGCCCTCCCCCTGCCTCCCCCACCTCCTGCCCCTGCCTCCCTACGCACAAACAAAATTAGCGCTAAATGAAATGTCCATTTACTTAAGCTACTACTGTGCTTAATTAGCTGCTGGGAAATACCAAAAAATGCCCCCCCTTTTTAAAAGCAAACTAACTCATTGTAATTCCTGTTTTGCTTCTGTATAGTTAAATTTGAGTATCGTGAATGTCTCCAACCAATGTTTGCTTTTGTTAAAAGAAACACTAAAAAAATGTGCTGAAGGCTATAAAGATTCAGGTAAATGGGGGAATCATTTGCTAAAAGCCCACTCAATGGACTGAGTGTGTGTGTTCCCCCCAGAATTCCTATGTTGAAACCCTATGGCTAAATGCCTTTGGGAGGTAATAAAGTCCTGAGAGCAGGGCCCTTGGGAACAGGGTTAGTGCCTTTACAAGAGGGCACTAGTGATAGCGCCCTTCCTCTCTGTCTTCTGCCTTGTGAGCACCCAGCCAGAAGACAGCCATCTGCAAACCAGGAAGCAGACCCTTACCAGACCCTGCATCCCCTAGCGCCTTGACCTTGGACTTCCAGCCTCCAGAACTGTGAGAAATACATGTCTGTTGTTAAGCCCCAGAGTCTATGTTTGTTTGTTCTAGCGGCCCGCAGGGACTAGGACACCCACCCTGTGTAAACACTGTGCTGGGTGCCGCGGGTTTGGAGTGACATTCCACAAAGACTCACAACTGGGGGTGGGGAGGTGGGTTCCTATATAATAATTTGAATACTAACGGGCCAATGTAAAGGTCGTAGCAGGAGTGCGCGAACGTGGGAAGAAATGGATCAGGCGCTTAGGTCGTGGGCAGACCTTGGGAGCGGGGCTGGGGGGGTGGGGGGGTTTTGAACACGACCAGGATGGCTTAGAGGGAGAGTTGCATAGCTCTAGGCATAAAAAACAGACCCTGAGGGCAGACATTTTCAGGGAAGTGCAAGGAGCTGAGTTGAGGGCGACCATGTCAGTAAGTTGGAGGAAGGGCAGCGGAAGAGAAGAGGAGGCCCTGTGGGAGGTCAGGCGGCCAGGCTAGGGGACTGGCAGGCCAGGAAGAGGGTGAAACCAGGAGCCCTAGAGCTCACCATTTGCCAAGGCCCTCCCTCTCGGGCACCCACCTGCACTGACATACTCCTGAGAGGGAAAGTCTCCTGAAATTTCGTCCCACATTTCTCTCCCCCTCCTTTAGCCCAGGCCCGGATTGTACTGAACAAACCTCGTAATGGACGTTGGACGTAAGAGCCCATGGACTGGCAGCTTGTGAGCTCTCTGAGCGCAGGGGTCATATATTTTTATCTGTAGAGTTATCTTTATATTCCCTCATGCCCTAGTGTTGGGCTGAGAGCCTGGCACTGACTCTGACTCTCAATAAATGTTTATTGAATGCATAAATACTTGGTTAGTGACACAGTCAGGGCAACCAAGGCAAACGAGGTAAGTGAACAAACACTGGGGCTCTAAATAATCAGTCTCGAGACAGAAACTCAGCGAGGTATAAAAGGGTATTTATTACATCAGTAATAAGAGAAGACCTTGCCCGGGAATCAGCTCAGTATTTAAAACCCATTTCCCAACGTGTGGAGGAACAAGAACGTATGTAACTTAGCATCAAAATATGTATCACTTGTAATCAGAATCAAGGTCTGGTACCCTTGACCCTGGAACAAATGCATGATTCAAAATACAAAGCCCCAAAGTAAAAAAATACTCTGTAAAATTTATAACATTCAGAGTGCTCCCCTCCTACATCCGCTCCTGAAAGGAATTTTTTTCTTAAGAAATACAAATAGTTCTTTTTTCTTTTTTTTTTTTAAAGATATCAAAGTCACTGTACTGTTAGATTTGGGATTGCTATGTTACTTAATTATATTAAATGTTATTTCTGCTCATCAAAGATGAAATCTTTCTTTTCAGACTCTTGTTTTTGGAATAAGACTAAATCAATATTCATTTGTGGGAATAGATTTTTTTTTAAGATTTTATTTATTTATTTGACAGAGAGAGAGACCACAAGTAGGCAGAGAAGCAGGCAGAGAGAGAGAGAAGGAAACAAGCTCCCCGTGGGGCTCGATCCCAGGACCTTGAGACCATGACCTGAGGAGAAGGCAGAGGCCCAACCCACTGAGATACCCAAGAGCCCCAGGGAATAGATTTTTAATATAAAATTTGTCACAACAAATTAAGCTTTACTTTTATTCTAACATGTTTAAAATGCTAGGAACAAATAGAAAGCTAGAATTTGCTTTTCTCTAGGGATCAAAACCAAAGAGAAAGACAGCTAATCTCATTATTCTACCCCCTCTTAGTACCATTCGATGAAGGAAGCACACAATGAGTACCTTTCTAACGGATCCCTGGCAACTCTGGATGCCCTGAGTTTACACTCAACTAGACCTGAATCAATAAAAGAAGATGAGATTCAAGATACTCTTGTTCTGTGATTAAATATATTAGTTGTCCAATGGAAACAAATTTCAAACAAGAACTGAAAGGTGGAAGGGCACAGAGAGGGCTCTGCTCTCCTGCTTCTCCACCAGCCCTCCTCCTTCTCCTCCTCAGCCCCTTTGCTAGAAACAAACAAAACCAAACAACAATGACAACAACAAAACCAAAAAAGAAAAAAAAGAAAAGAAAAGAAAAGAAAAGAAAAGAAAAGAAAAGAAAAAACCACCACCACCACCAACAACAAAAAACCCCAAACAACCAAAAGCCAAGAAAACTGCAGTTTATTTTTAAATATATTCTGTTGGGAGATGTGCACGGCAATTAAAAAACATTTTTTTAAATAAAATAAGATAAAAACAAAGGGAGGCAAACCATAAGACTCTTAAATATAGAAAACAAACTGAGGTTACTGGAAGGTTAAGGAGGGCACTTGTTGGAATTGTACTGGGTGTTATATGTAAGGGATGAATCACTAAATTCTACTCCAATACTACACTACATGTGAACTAACTTGAATTTTTAAAAGATGTAAAAAAAATTTCTTGGATTTTTTTCATGCTTAAAAGTGCAAGAAAAAAAAAAGATTATTCTGTTTATCTCTATTCTTTTTTTTTTTTAAGATTTTATTTATTTATTTGACAGACAGATCACAAGTAGGCAGAGAGGCAGGCAGAGAGAGAGGCGGAAGCAGGCTCCCTGCTGAACAGAGAGCCCGATTTGGGGCTCGATGCAGGGTTTGATCCCAGGACCCTGGGATCATGACCTGAGCTGAAAGCAGAGGCTTTAACCCACTGAGCCACCCAGGTGCCCCTGTTTATCTCTCTATTCTGATTATCCCTGTTGATTGTTAAAACTGGAAGTAATAAATGCTTTTGGTAAGAAAATTCAAACAATGCAGAAAAGTATACATTTGAACTAAAACCTTTTTTTTTCTTGCCAGTTACTCACCTCCTAGAAGATTCCTATTAATGATTTCTTGAATGTCTTTTGAGAAAAAAATTGCTGATAGAGCCAAATTTTCCTCAAAAGACATTCACCTACATTGAATTATTAATATATTCTCCTCTGCACCTTACTTTTTTCATTTAATAATACACCTCGAATATCGTTTTGTATCAGCATACATAGGTCTACTCTGTTTTTTTATTCCGCGCCCTAGTATTCCATTGTATAAAGGTACCCTACTATATTTATTTAACCTGTCCTCTGCAGATGGACATTTGCAACAATTTTTTGGTATTACAAATAATGGTTCTATGAATACTTTTTACACATATTTTGATGTCGTCCTTCATATGTATTCATAAGGAACTGGAGAGAACATATACAGTTGCATTGGTTGTACATTGCACAAAGCACTTCATCTATGTGGGCAACAGTATCTTTGTAGATATCATAACTTTAAATACTTATTATGATAATTTTCTGGCAGATAGCATAAAATGTCTTAAGGAAGGGTTTCTTTTCCTGATTTGCACAAAATCACCACAGCACCTGGGGCTAGGGGACTATCAACAGAACTACTATGTCAAAGGGCATATCCACAAGGACTTTTGATAGATATTGTCAACTTCCCCTCTAAAATGTTTGTACTAATAGGCATCAGTTTTGACAGAGAGAGCAGTGGATTCTTCTTTTTTTTTTTTTTTTAAGACTTTATTTATTTGACAGACAGAAATCACAAGTAGGCAGAGAGGCAGGCAGAGAGAGAGGGAAGCAGGTTCCCTGCCTAGCAGAGAGCCTGATGCGGGGCTCGATCCAGGACCCTGGGTTCACGACCCGAGCCAAAGGCAGAGGCTTTAACCCACTGAGCCACCCAGGCACCCCCTGATAGCAGTGGATTCTAAGGTCAAAAACTTGCTGTGTTGTTTTAAGCCATGATCACTGTTCATTTACCTGAAATTATAAGAAAGAATGAGAACAAGAATACTTAAAAGCTACCCAAAAAGAGTACCTGGGTGGCTCAGTCTGTTAAGAGTCTTCGGCTCAGGTCATAATCCCAGGGTCCTGGGATTGAGTCCCACATCAGGCTCCCTGCTCAGCGGGAAGTCTGCTTCTCCATCTACCCCTCCCTCCTTCTCATGATGTCTCTCTCTCAAATAAATAAAATCTCTTTAAAAAAAAAAACTACTAAAAAAAGATCCCAGTGGGTATTAGGCGATTTGCTTATTACCTACTTTCCTTTATTCTCTGGGGACAATCTAATGTATAGTCTCTTAAAGGCTCGGAGAGATCAGTGGGAGAGAGAAGAAGCTGCTGGAGACCTAAGACCCACAGAGTTGATTCCTGTCTGTTGATAAAACTGTCTTCTCGTGTTCTTTTCTGGAGGAATTAAATGAGCAATGCTGGGAAAGACACAATCAGCTGTGATGGACTTGCGGTGAGAGGCTGGGATCGCGGGATCAAAGACGGGATTAGGAAGCGGGCTATGTAAAAGACGTCCTAGTACGATAGCCTTCTCCCGTCGCTCAAGGAAGTGTCAGCGATCCCAACCACAGACTGTGTTTCTAATGACAGAAGCATACATTGTCAAGCACTTCTGGACATGGGCGCATTGTTCCGTTGGTAAAAGTGTGCCTGAAATTGTGTCATAAAATGCTGACACATTTGTCACTCTGTGACACACTCTCTGTGACACACACTCTGTCACTCACTCTCTACAGTAGAATTTGGGATTCTACTGTAAGTGTAAATGCAATCCCGAGACTGTCCAGTTTAAGAAGAAGGACTATACTAAGCAGTGTCCACAACGAACTGAAAATAGACGCCAGGAAGGTGGGGCAGAGGGTGGAGAAGAAAGGGATGGCAGGAAGGGATGGAAGACCTCCCGGAAGGAAGGCCACAGAGAACAAGAGTGGCCTCTAGAGGTGAGTGGCCAGATCCATGGAGCTGCTAGCTGGTCAAAACAGGAGAGGAAGCCAAGCATGGAGTCTCCAGTCCCACCAACTGGCTTTGAGACTTCGGGCAAGACCCACTCACTCTGCCTGCCTCTCAGTTTCTCTGCTTGTCAAGGAGGCATGAGAATGACCCCCCTTTCCCCCAGGACTGTGAGGACAACATGACAAATAGCTTAACAATGCCTCGGGCCGTTAAGAGCAGGGACAAATTGACACCCAGTCTTACTGGTGGAATGGATTTGGCCTCTCATGGTGATGTCTGTTGTTCCGGTTCCCTTCACCAATAGGTACACGTAGCTTTCTCAGGGGGCCCTTGAAAAGTAGGAAACTAACGTAAGAATCCTCAAAGTTTGCAAAACAGCACGGCCCGAAACGTATCTCTAGCAATTACCGGGGGTAGATAGCCTAAAAAGGTCTTATTATGTATTTCCCTCTCGTGATAAAACTCCAACTCATTCTATGTTTCATGTTCAAGGACAAAATGCAGCTTGGCCAGCCCCACGCTTGGTTAGAGGACTGCGATGTTCCTGGGATTAGTTACATTCACCTCTGGTCAGGATGAGGTCTGAGGCAGGATCCAGTCCCGCGGCTCTGCTCACTGCCTAGCTCAGGTAAGACCGCACAGACCGTCTCCTGTATTCAACTGATTCCAAACTCTACAGTTCTATGATTGCTGTAGATTTAACCAGTTAGCTTGAAAGATGTTTATGTACATTTATGATTATTTTTTGGAAGTCAGGGCATTGGTGATGATGTGGGCATAATTCATGAGTCAGATAGGAAAGGTGTTTGAGCTTGAACTTTTTTTTTTAAACCTTTAGTGGCATTTATCTTATGCTGAATTTACTCGTGGGCCATCAAATTTTGTTTCTCCAGTTAATTCTGGGGTTGTCTTTTTCTTCGGCGCAATAATCTGCTCTGTTTCAGTAAGGGTCATCTCAGCAGGCAGAGGAGCTTATGGGGGGTTCATCTGGCCGGGAGTTCTGAAATCCCGAGGTGCAGCTCTGGGGACTCGTTCATCTAGATGAACCCAGTGACTGACGAATCAAGGTCTAAATTCTATTTTTTTAAAGATTTTATTTCTTTATTTGAGAGAGAGAGAGAGAAAATGAGTGGGGGGAGGGAAAGAGGGAGAGGGAGAAGCAACCTCCCCACGGAGCAGGGAGCCCAATGTGGGGCTTGATCCCAGGACCCCAAGATCATGACCCGAACTGAAGGCAGACACTTAACCAACTGAGCCACCCAGGCACCCCTCAACATCTAAATTCTTAAGTTCAGCATTACTCTCTCCATTTTTAAGCACGCGCAGCCAAAACTCAGCCCTCTTTTGGGGCCACTGACCCTGTGTCTAGCCCCATCGTTTGGCCTGAGTCCCACACCATTGTAATGATGCAGGGGCATGCATGGCTTCTGTAATGTGACATCTTTCAGAGACTTGGTGGCTTTTCAGAGACGCATACCTTTGATCTTCTGGGCTGTTTCGTGGATGTTCTTAAAGTAAACACAGAGATTTGAACCTCTTGATTTGCATGATTGGTCAGGGTTTTTTGGGTCGAGTAGAGAACAATTTTCAGAGATCATCTCAGGCTACGTAGGGAAGAGCTGGAACTTTTCTCACAATCCGGTACTAATAATGCCTGTCAAATAATAAAGTCAGGAAAACAGAAGGCAGGACAGCCAGACAGTGGGTTAGACAAGCAAATGGCTGATGGCAAGTTTCTGATCTTCGACATTGTCGGGCTAGAGAATCTTCACTCCACTCCCCCGACCTGGGTATCAGGAGGCTTCTGCTTCCCTGTGCAAGAGGGTATTTGAAGCCAAGGAATAAACTTGGTGCTTCTCCCTATGGCATTTACTCATTCAAAGATCTGAGACCAAAAGACCGTGGTTTTTATGTGGGGGGAAAAAACCCAGATGCACAGTAGAATGGGAAGCATCCAGTGCTGAAGTTTGAGAAGAGCCTCTCACGGGATAGCTGCTTGCGGCAGGAAGCTCTGGGCTCCAACACTGCTGCAGGTAGCTTCTGGAAGAATCTGAAAAGGTGAGGTTCCCTGGGTCATCTGGTTCATCCATCTGGGCTCCTAAACCCATGCTGCACCTGCCTCCTAGAATGCCTTTCTCTTCTGTCTGCCTCTGCTAATCTCTGTTTTCTGGCAAGCCCTGGGACAGATGCTCCTTCCCTTACAAAGGACATCCTGATGGACTAGGCTTTGACTCCGTGCTCCTTGTCAGCTCCTGTCTACAGCACATACGGATTCCTCCGAACACACCAGACCATGTCTCAACTCCTCTCTCGGTTGGCTCTCCTGGAGAGCACAGTCTGAGAGTTGTGCCCCCTGGAGAGCACCATGCCGTGTTGAGAGTAGGACCTCCGTAAACATTTGAAGAATGAACAACAGATGAGTGAGAAGTGGGTATTGTCCATTTGTGACTGAGCAAGCAGCTGATTTTATTTCTTTCTGGAAGTGAAAACCAAGGGGGTGGGGGTTGGCCTGAGCTGGAAGGGATTTCCTAAAAGAAGATGAGAGGGAGGAAATGGAAAACCATCCCTTTAAGACAAGCTTCTCACCTAGACAATGCACTGACACAGAAGGAGGGAACTCTGAAAATGCTCACGCTGGAGAAAAACCATTAGATCGGTGACGATTTGTCCTCATTTCCCAAGTCTAAAGGGAAGGTGAACTGTTGTTGATTAATTTAGTGCTCCCTATTGCCCTTTTCATCAGTAATGCAGGCCAAGTCATCATCCTCTTTGATTTTTCGGTTACATCAGCCCCAGTAATGGACTTTTGCTGATAAGGAAATATTAGTTGAGAAGGAAAATGGAGTTGTTTAAGCAATAAAATTAAATAATGATGGTGCGGGAAGGACATTGTGTCATCAGTGTATCAATATGTTGCAATCAAATTATCAAAGACACTTCCTCTCTCTAATTCCCTTTAGAACGGTGCTGTGTCCTAAGGCCACGTTAGGAGAAGCTTAGCTCTGCTGGGTATCACATCCTAATGTGAAGGCTTCCCAGCTTTGTGCTGCGTCTGGAACTCGCTGGGGCTATTAGCTGTGCCTATGCCCTTTGTGGGAAGTGTTTAATAGAACTGGAGTTGGATCGGTGAGTTTCCTGGGCACCGGTTCTGTTTCTGCCTGTGATCTTCTCTGTGGCTTTAAGCCAAACAGGGAGAACACATCTGCCTTTTAATTTCCCCTTTGGCAGGCAACAAGGACAGTATTTATCTGGCAAATGTTTTAAAACCTGAATAGAAAGCAAACTTAAAATGTAAGGGGTCATGCATTGTATCAGCTGTGTTCCTGTCCGTGCAGTGGGTAAATTTCAGTCCTGGTTCCGGGGCGAGATTTGGCAGGGAATCCGCACCCTTACAGGGCAGTTTCCCTTCTCCAGCCACCTCCATTGCCTGGTTTAATTTTATCGGCTTTTTGGTCATTCTGAGCTCTCTGTGGATTAGTTCACCATAAGAAAATGTCCTCCCAAGTCTTATTCCCACTCCTGGCAGACAACCCAACTCTGGTTTTACTGAGAAGATTAAGGCTCACTTGGAAGAATTAAATTTACTCATCTCTGTGGCTGCCTCCCATTTCGGATGAAAGGGGGGCCTCTCTCTCCCTTTTCTCCAGAGCTCACCCTTGCCCCTGTGTCCTGGACTGACCTCCCCTGGGTTTTATGTTGTTTTGTGGGGGGTGTTTTTGTTGTTTGTTTGGTTTGGTTTTGCCTCTTCCTCTTCCACTTTCCAGTACTTGCATGAGCCCCGTCTCCCTTGCAGCTGCTTTCAAATGCGCCCAATCTCCATTCTATTCTAAAAAGCACACAGAAACACCAGAACGCCTTAGCTTGACCTTGCTCTCTCTTCCAGTCTATTTATTGCCTTCTTCCTCTAGCAAGACATCTCAATTTCCTCTTCCCAGAGGTTAGTGCTATGGCTTCCTTTCTCTTTCACTGTTGAAATTGCATTCTCAGAGGTCACCATGGGTGCCCAGTGGGCCCAGGCCAGAGAGGGTTTTGTGTTAGCCTCATCCTTCTTGTTTTCTCAAAAGCATCACTTTTCTTTCCTTCTACTTTTTCTTTCACACTTCCACTCTGACCTACTTCTCTGCTTACACTGTGTGTGTCAACTAATCGTGTTTCCTAAAGTTGTTCACCACACAGCATCATGGCTGAGTCTGAGCTGTGACATTAACCTAAGGTTGAATTCTGACTCTGCCACCAGTTAACTGCATGACATTTGGCAAAGACATCTCCCAGTGCCTCAGTTTCCCCATCCTTAATATGGGGATCATAATTAGAGTAATTACCTTAGATTTGTGGTAAGAATCAAACAAGATAGTCTACGAAATATTTACCTGAACGATTGGCACATAGAAATACCCAATAAACATTTATTAGCATAACAATAAACTCCAAGAGCTTTGAAAATGTGACTTCTTTTCTCTTAGGACATATAGCCTGCCCACTTTGCCAAACACAAGGCCAGACAATAAATAATTAGTGATAAACAGATTTATAGGAAGTCCAGGGAGGGAGAAGTGAGGGGAGGAGAGGAGGTCTCCAAATTTGCAAGTACAATTAATTCCCAGTTTTCTTGTTTTGTTTTACCAATAAATCAACAGTTTTGTTGAGAGTTTAAATCTGTCCTCGTAGCACCGATGGTGTTTGTGGAGCAGAAGGGGGCGTCAGCGTTAAAGCTGTAGCTGTGGGTGCACCAACCAATCACAGAGAAGCTGCTCCGCCTGGAACACAGTGTCCCATCCCTAGATTAATGCTGCTGGAACTGGATTAGGGAAGGAGGCTTTGCAGCTGTGCGCGGAGCCTGGAACCCGTCCATTGAGTGATGCTGCCATCTAGTGGTGCCATCGGGGAACTGCTCTGGGCAGAGCCCTTCATTTGGTGCAGGGGCAGAGCCTCGGAATTGCAGTCCTTTCTTTGAAAAGTGTGGGTGAGACCCGAACGGAGGGAAGAATAAGGGGGAAAAGACAGCAAGGGGAAGGGGGAACGACACCTCAGCACAGTCTGGGAAAGTAAAGGACACAAGTGATGCTTGCAACCACTAAGAACAATCTCGTTGGTATTCGAGCGCAATTCCCTCCCCCACCGCAATGCGGTCATCTAAACTTTGTCCCCCCCCGCCCCCCGCCCCGGGATTCTCACTTTCCAACACTCTGTGCTGACCCGTTATCCCGAAAAGATCTTCTTTCACCTTCTTATTCCCCTTCTTCTACGTTAGGAATTCAGGGCTGGGAAAATTGAGCCTAGTCACCCCACCTGGCGACCACAGCGGATCCGACCCGGGCTCCAGCCGCACCTGCAGCAGATGACCACGTGACCGCCGCCAGGTAAGGGCCCCCAGGGCTCCCGGCAACCCGCCCAGGGCCCAGAGGAGGCCAAGGTTGATCGGGATATCCCGGGAGGTTTTGGAATGTCACTCGGGTCACTGACATCAGGGGGAGTTGACATCGTCTTTGTAAAACTGAAGTGGGCAATGTTGGCCATAAAGCCAATCTTTCTTCTGTTCGCGAACTATGTCAGTCCACCTCTGTCCAATAGGTAGATTATAGGTCATTATATCAAGTCATCAAAGAGCTTTAGGAAGCGGGAGGGGCACTGAAGGGGAGATGTTGGTGCCAACATGTGGACACAGCATGTCCTTCCCCAGTGAGCTTGCAGGGCGCTGTCTGGGGACCGGACATCCGCCTTACACACGGTGACACCCTGCACATGGAAGTACAGGTCATGGTCTCTGCTGTGTCCTTACTAGAGATTTGACCTGAGTTATTGACCTTACTCTAAGCATCATTTCCCTCTTTTCTAAAATGGACATAATTAAATTGACCTCTCGATTACTTCGAAGATTAAAGAAAAGCCCCTTATTTAGGAGACTGGGACTGGGTTGGAGAGAGCTAATGGAAGAGGGTTGTTAAAGCAGAGAGTCAGAGAAGGCAATACACGCCTCACATAGTTTACCTTAAAATATAGACTTCCCCGGTCTTTAATGTAGAGCCGTGGTCTTTTCTTTGAATATGGATCCATGAGCTGGTGGCTTTTGAGGCACACACATCATCTGTGAGTTCTGGTTTGGGTTTCATTCAGTGGAATGAAATCTGAAAGACACCAGGGGAGACCCGTATAAAGTCGCTTCTGCATGGTCATTCAGATCCCAGTCATGGTTCCATGAAGACTCTTCCTCAGTGCTTACTGTCCACACCATTTCTAAGTAGACAGCAAGGTTTGAGCAGCTTCTTGTTGTTGGATCTTTCCAAAACATTCCATTTTGCATTCATAGAAACAACTTCCTTTCTCTGTGTATTCATTTTTCATCAATTTCTTGAATGCTTAAATGCCACAGTTATGGTAAGAAGTACAGGTGTCAGAAACTGGTTCTTGGTCAGCATAAAAGGAGAAGTGAGGAGTGGGTACCATATGCCGCACTCACTGGTTGGTGCAAGTCACGAGGGTATGGAAAACACGGTTCCCCTGGCAAGTTGGCCCAGCAGAGGTCAGCTGAAATGGTTTTCCCTGCAGTGTGGACAAAGCGCTAAATGTGGTACCTAGCATACACAGTGCCCAATATGTGGTAGCTGTTAATATTATTATGATGATTAATAAGGTCAGTATTGGGAGGGTTTTTAGAGATCTACCAGTTTTGGGGCACCCGGGTGGCTCAGTCGGTTAAGCACACGACTCTTGATTTCGGCTCAGGTCATGATCTCAGGGTCCTAAGATCGAGCCCTGCGTCAGGCTCAGCACTACGCATGGAGCGTGCTGGAGATTCTTTCTCTCCGTCTGCCCCTTCCCCTCCTCCCCTCCTAAAAAAGAAAAAAGAGAAATCTAACAATTTCTTCCCCTTGTTTTACAGAAATGATCAAAGTGTTTTATAATTTTGGCCTTCATAATATACCTTTTGGCTTCACTGAATAAAAGGATTATTGACCATAAACCTAGTATTTTGAGTCAGAAGGATTTAAAATTACAGAGGCATTTGGGAGTCAGCCTAAAGCACAAAGCAGTTTTCTAGGTCACCCTCAATCCATGTTTGTTCAGGAAGACCAGGAAAAATCACACCATGGTGATGAAGACAAGCTCCAGGCTTTCAGAAATAGTGAAAACCAGGGCACAAGGTATTAACACACCCAGGGAGGACTTCCTGGAGGAAGGATGCACACGGGGATGGACGAAACTATAAGCAGAGCCATGCCTTTGGCTTCGTTGTGGCCAGGTGGCCTCCCAGACTCCATCACACCAGCCTGGGCACCTGGGATGACCCTAGCAACCCACCAGAAAAACCTAATCCCTCAAAGCAAAGTGTGGGGGTGAGTGGGCTTTGCAGCTCCAGTTAGAACACTTAAGAAATCTTTGACTCCATAGGCCATGTTTAAAATCCTCCTCTCCGAGATCCTGCGTGACAACAGACAGAAATTGTCCTTTTGTTTGGCTGCATTGGGTCTAAGGGACTTACGGGTTGGAAAGGAGAAGGGAGGAGGACACCGCAGGCAGGAAGAAGGGCCTGTGGGTAGGAGGTGCAGCAAGCTCACCAGCCACAAAACTCCGGGTGAGGGGCTCTGGGACCCCAAGCTAACTTTTATGTTTCTTTTCACTTTTAAGGGAACTTTTTATTTGGGAATAGTATCCAAGAAGAGGGTACAAATCATAGCCTGTATAGCTCAATGTGATTTTTATCGTGAAAGAAATTCAAGGAGCTTCACGAACACATGATGTCAATACCGTGTCCTCTGCAAAGACTCTGACACTCTCTCCTCTCTTATCCCCTTGGCCCCAGCTGCTCCTCTGACTTCTGGGGTCTCTCCCGATGTGTGGGGTATGTCAATTCTGGAGTTATTTAAGTTCCACTGTAGAGGCAGGGAGAAAAAAAAGAAAGAAAGAAAGAAAAGGCAGTGCTGGGGTCGGGTTCTGTGCCCTCTGAGATTCCGATCCAGTAACAATGAAGTAGGCCTGGGGTTAATACCCAGCACTGTGGGGGATTCTAATGTCGGAGGCTGGGCTGACATGGTGAGAAACGGCTTTGTTTTTCCTGCTCCAGAAATGGAGATGAGCCCTGACAAGCTGTGTGACCGAACTAGATCATAGTTCTCATCTTGCAATGAGAAGGTAGGGCGGTAGGAAGGGCTTGCTAGCGGCCCCGGGCGTTTTCCTAACCTCATACCGAACCTACCAAGGACAGCACTCAGCCCTCACGGACTTAGCACTGCATGAGAGCCTCCCAGGACCTTAAATTTCCACCTGACTATGAAGAACTGACGGGGCTGGATGCTTGGCCTCTGAAGCCTGGAGCTGACGGTTTGGATGGCTAAACCCCTTCCCTGCTCTGCCAGTCCGACAGGAGAAGTCCAGCGTAACGAACAGGGAACCGGCTCTGCTTTCCTTCTCCACGGAGAGAAGCCTCAGGTGTGATTTTCGTGCATCAGAATGGAGATACCAGCTGTCTTATAAGGAGGCCTCCTTAGTGAGCAGCCCCCAGCTCGACCATTTTCAGCTCCTTTACCCACAGCCAGGTGCTTGTCAGCTCTATCAGCCCCGTGAGGGGCGGGTTCTACTGAAACAGAAGGTTGTGTGGGGAAGAGCCCCAAAAGAAACAGCCAAGCCTGCCTGGCGTCCGTGTGAATTTTAAAATCCCTTCATTTTGGAGAAGACTGGCATAGGAATAGTGTCGTTTCTTTCTCTTAATGCAGTGGTTTTCTAAGTGTGGTCCCCAGACCAGCCGCACGCCGGTATTCCCCGGGAGCTTGTTAGAGATGTGGATGTGGGGCCCTGCTTCAGACGCACAGAATCAGAAACTCTGGGGATCAGGGCTGGGAATCTGTGTTAGAACAAGTCCTCCGGGTGATTCTAGCCCATGTTCAAGTGTGAGAACCGCTGGCATTTAATGGAATGTAGAACTTATGAGAATGCCTTTATTCAAACAGAGAAAATATTGCTGATTGGTGGGGGTGATTTTTTTTCTGGGCTTTTGTTTGAGATCCCCATTGTGGTAGTGAGGGGAGCTCTGCTGACCAGAGATGAAGAAGAAAAAGAGCCTAGGGGGTGGAGAGGAAGAGGCGTTTTCATGGATCTCTCCAGTGTCTTCTGACCAAGAGAGCATCACCGGAACCCGCAGCGAGGGAGGGGCAAAGAGAGTGGAGAAACCACTCTCTTTGAACTTCCAGGTCAGAGTCAAATGTTCCAAGCCGTTTAACGGGGCTGGGTTTTGTCAGCCGCCCGTGTTTAAATAAGTTTGCAATTCAAGTACAGTAAGTAGGGTAGCCAACATGTCCAGGTTTGCCTGACACCTCCCTGGTCTTAGCACGCAAAATCCCACGTCCCAGGAACACCCCCATCCCGGGGGGCCAGGCTCCAGTGTGTGTTTTTGTCCCACACCACCAGTCAAGTCTCCAATTCTCAGCAGATACCGACAGGGCATCTCATAATTCAATTCATTTCTGACATCGGCAGGTGACCAACGACCAACCAGCTAGACTGGACGTTCCCTCAGGCCTCTCCTTGGGTTTGAGGAATTTGCCAGAATGGCTCACAGAAATCAGAGATACATTTTACTTACCGAGTCACCGGTTTATTATTAAAGGATATTATTCAGCAAAAGCCAGGTGGGAGACGCATAGGGTGACGTATGGGGAAAGGGTATAGAGCTGCTACACCCTGAGTGTGCCACTCTCCCCAGATCGCCACGTGTTCAACAGCCCGGAAGCTCTCTGAACCCCAACCTTTCGGGGTTTTGTCGAGGCTTCATTTTACCTACGCACAGTTGATTCAATCATTGACTGTGGGTTGTCTCCAGCCCCTCCAGCCTCCCAACAGGAGGGGAGGGGACTGAAGTTTCCCCGCCCTCCAGTCACAGGGTTCGTCCCCCTGGCAACCAGCTTCACCCCCTGGTAAGAAAAGGCTTTCAGAAAGTCACCTCATTAACATGACAAAGACGCCCTGATCGCTGTAATCACTTGGGAAATTCTAACGAGTTTAGGAGCTCTGTGCCAGAAACAGGGAGAGAGACCAAGTATATATTTATTACAAGTCACCATACTGCGGGGCAAACCGAGGTAAATGGTCGGTACTCACCCTAGTTCAGTGACTGCCCACTGGAATTACTGGGTGAGCTTTAAGATTACTGATGGCGGGGCTCACTTCCAGAGATGGTGATAGACTTAGTCCCAGGCACCACCAGGACAGGTGGGAGATGGAGGAAAGTTCCTCAGGGGACTTTATTGTGGCTAGCGACTGACAACCCCTGCAGCTCCTTGTGTGTCATTTCTCCCACTAATTTTTTTTTGTTAACCAAAACAAAAGTCAGTGGTTCTGATGAAGCAAGACTCCTACCACATACCACATACAAAAATGGACTCAAAATGGATCAACAATGTAAATATAAGAGCTAAACTCTAAAAAATCTTGGAAGAAAACATAAGGGAATTCTTCATGACTTTGGATCTGGCAATGGATTCTATTATCCTAGTTCAGACTAGTTTACACTATTGTACCTCAACTCACACGGTAGATCAGCAAGACTTTGTGAGCTGTATTTACTTATAATATATATTTTAAACAATATATACTGGCAGTGAAATTACAAAACTGTAGATATAAAATAAGAAGTATGTTTGCTCAGATTTCTACCCCACAGGCAATTTTTGTTAAAATTGCTTAGGCATTCTTCCCTGTTCTATGCACATGCAAGCATAGAGGTACAAATATGTTTCTCTTTCTCATACTAACAGCAGCATACTGATTTTCACTCAACAGCATGTTTTGGAGATCATTTTAGCATGGGTGGGTCTGCCCAATATTCTTTTTTTCCTTCCAAAAAATTATGTTTATTAACATGTTATCCATGTGAATTTTTCTTTTTTCAAGTATGTTTTTAGGGGTTTTTTTTCCCCTGGTATTCTTCTCAATGACAACATTGCGGTCATCTGTAGTGGTGTAGTTGTGATATATAGTTCTAACTTATTTATATTAAATAATTAGTCACAACTATCAAAGGACATTATAGATTGTTCACATTACAAAGTGGCAGTGTCTATTGTATACGTCTGTGTCTGAGTAAATGATGTGCCATTGTCTCTGTGGGGTCCAAGAGTGGCTGAAAGATATGTACATTTCAGAATTATAGGAGATGATATCAAGATCCTCTCTAAAACGCGGTACCAACTTACATTCTTGAGGAGCTTTTGAAAACACAGAGTTTCAGGCTACTTTTTACTTTAACTCATGAGAATCTGGGTGGGGCCATGAACCTTTGTTTTATTTCCTTGGTGATTCTGATATAAGAAGGCTCCAGGACAGAATGGGAGTCATGGGACGGACGGTCTGGGTGCCCCTGCTGCATTTCCTCCTGCTGTTTATCTACTGCTGGGACAGCTGTGTCGCCTCACCAAGGGGACGGGGTCCTAAAGGACAGGCCTCAGGGATGTTGCTTCTCTGTGTTCTTACCCTGGCACCGTGTTTTGTATGACACTGCTTGTCGATGACAAGTCTTGGAAGAGTGTTTGTGGCTCATATGATGATTCTGTTTTCTTCTAGTTCCATGGATCAAACACAGAGAGGAATCCTGGGCCAGACCGGGCCGGTCCCCATCACCCAGTCCAAGAAGAAAAGGACGTCAGTGATGTCTTTCTTTTCCAAGGTCTGTCACAAAATATTATGAACAGAGTTCCCTCCCCAACAACCACCTGTAAAAGAGCCTGGTCTGCATCGGCTGAGGTCACTCAGCTGAGGTGCTTCTGGAAAAAGCTTGATGACGCTTCTCATAACACAGACCGCAGGTTCATAGGGTAACGAGATAAGCGGGAGGAATTTCATTTACTGCAAACTTAATCATAAAAGTATAGAAAGAGCTACAATGCGTGCTAAGAAATAATGATGAGACCTGGTAATCACCCAAATACCGAATAGGACTGTGGGTCTGGTCTGCAGCCCCTCGTGCCCCAGGACGGTAAGAAGGTGCCTTTTCCTGGATCTTGTCTGGATTGTCTTTGTTCTGACATCAGCATATGTTGCTGTGTTGTATGAGGCACAGAACACTGTGCCCTGCCTGGTCTCATAGGCTCACCACAGAGGGGACCCGATTCTTGCCCTGTAGTGACAGTTAGTCCCTGATGTGGCTTCCTGTGCTAGCCGCACGGTGTTTCCCATTTGCCTTACTTATGTATATCTGTTCCTAATCTTAGTAGCTCAGATGTATGCATTCTGGGGTGGGACAGCCTTTAAGTGTCCTGAAATGTTTGTAGGTGTGCTTTGCTAGTCGGGCCAAATGCTGTCAAGAGGTTGAAGAAGACGAGCACTGAGAATTAACCCTTGGATGTAATCACGTGGAGGTGGGGGAGGGGGGCATCAATCTGACTGCAGAAGGTTCAAGAGATAAAGGTGAGAGGAATTGGAGAAAACAAGTGTAGACACATCTTTCAAGGTAGAGCAGGAAAGTAGGGAAGACAAAGGGTTGGGAAAATGCTTTTCTTTGAGTTGGAAGACGCCCAGCATTTCTCGTCCTGTGAAGGATCCCTGGTATCAGCTCACATCAACTCTCTAAAGCCCCCTTTATTTATTTATATATTTTTTTTGTTAATGATTTTCTTTATTTATTTGACAGAGAGAGAGAGAGAGATAGCAAAAGAGAGCACAAATGGTGGGCGGGGAACCCAATGTGGGACTCGATCCCAGGACCTGGCGACCATGACCTGAAGCCAAGGCAGACACTTAACTGACTGAAGGCGCCCCTGAAGCCCCCTTTCTTCTGAGCTCTAGCACACCCTCAGTGATCCTAGAGCACCTATCCCCATATTTCCCCCAACCTACCTCAACACCAGCCCTGCATTATTTGTCTCTACCTAGTTCCTCTTCCACCAAAATTCTTCATTATGTAGATCAAACTAATGTATTTCCAGGAATAATCAGGTGGTTTTTTAAAAAAAGATTTTATTTATTTATTTGACAGAGAGACACAGCAAGAAAGGGAACACAAGCAGGCGGAGTGAGAGAGGGAGAAGCAGCCTCCCCCTGAGCAGGGAGCCCGATGTGGGGCTTGATCCCAGGACCCTGGAATCATGACCTGAGCCAAAAGCAGTTGATTAATGACTGAGCCACCCAGGCACCCCAGATCAGGTGTCTTTAGGTGGAGAAAGAAGGGCTGAGTTGAGCAGGCCACGCAGGATTTTCTTTAGAGGGAGGGATTGGGGTTGGAATAGGTATGACTCTGAACATTCCCCAGATCAATACATTTTTTACTTACTACACAGGTCTCTTGGACACTGAGGTTCCAGAAGCGGGAGTCTCTGAAGAATGTGTTTTCCATCTTGGCAGAAAGAGCCCAGGACCCCAACGCTAAAAAGCGCCACATGGCAATGAGAGGTCTGGGAACCATGGCCTGTGAGACCCCTGACAAGGTAGGAGGGGAAGGTGGCACCCAACTGGCCCTCATGGCCTGGAGTCCCCAGGACCGGGAGATGGTGCTCCACGTACCAGTTATCCGCTGCTGTGCGACAGATCACCACAGACCTAGCATTCATCCTCTTGTAGTTCTCTTGGGTCAGGAGTTTAGGTACCGCATAGCCGGGTTCTCTGCCCAGGATCTCACAAGGCTACCACCAAGGTGTGGGTCAGACTGCCTTCCTTTCTGAAGCCTGCGCTCTTCTTTGAAGCCTCTGTGGCCGTTGGAAGAATGCGGCTCCTTCTAGGTGTAGGACCAAGGTCCCTGCTCTCTTGCTGACCGGCTACCTCAACTCCTTGAGGCTCTTCTCCCACAGCATGTAAGCTTTCTTCTTCAAGGCCAGCAGGAGAGCTTCACCTGCTCATGCCTGCTCAGATGAACTCTTATGTAATGTGATACAACCATGGGAATGATATCCCATCCTTGTTGTCATATTTTAGAGGCTAGAAGAAAAGTCACTGCTTCCTTCCACATTCAGGAGAAGAAGACTGGACAAGGGCGTGACTCATTTAGGGTTATTTGGGGGATCTTCACTCCTCAGTAGTATCAGCCTTGGGAAACAGAGTGGCAGATGGGATTAACACACACCTGGACATCACCCTCTTGGGTGAATTTAATTTATTTTTGAGTAATTTATGCCTGTGTAGTAAAAGATGTTTTCCCCACCTCTTTTAGCAACTGTCAACTTCAGTGATCATTTCATCTCACCCCCGATAAAAGTATCTGCTCTGCCTCAGAGGCCTAGATCATCCAGACCACCGCACTCCTTGATGCTCCCTTCCCGCCCTCATCTGCTCATAGGCCAAGCTCCAGACTGCTCTTCCTGTTGTTCTTCCAAGATTGAGCTGGATCTTGGGTCAGGTTAATGGGAAGCATTTGTATTTCAATGAGTGTTGTTGCCATAGTACCTGAAGAAAGCTGCGCTCTCAGTCCAAGTCCTAGGTTATTGGAGGATTAGAATTAGGATTGCTTTTCAACTCCCAGGGAGCAATTTCTGGACTACTCATGCTTTTCAAACTTGTTAACAGGTGAGAAAGTATAAGAAAATTGTCCTAGACCTGCTGGTGCATGGATTGTATGACCCTGTGAGTGCTGAAGTCATCCACGAGAGCTTGAAGACACTGACCATCATCTTGGGCAAGATCCAGGGGAAAAGTCTAGGCTCTTTCTTCGTAGACATCACTCTCCAGACCAGGACTTTATTAGATGATGTAAGTGAGACAATTTGGAAGAATTCTGGATTATTAAAGTTGAGGTAGGATGAGATACATATGAGCCCTGGCTGGTGTGTTGCTCAGAGACCATGGTCTGTATTATTCACTTCTTTATTAAGAAATCATTGAAAGACTAATATCGTACTGGCAGTTATGGAAGACATATAAAGAAGGAGGAGTTTTTGTTGTTCTGGAGAAGTGAATATATACACACCAATGATGAATATGGTGATGAAGATGATGGTCAAGGTGATGGTAACAGTGCTGACATGTATTGAGTGCTCTGTTAAGGTGTGACGATAACACTAGTTAGTGTTTAGCGAGCCAGTACTGTGTGCCAGGCCCAGTGCTAGGCAGTTCTTGTGGGTTATCCCATAGAATCTTCTCAATAACCCTGTGAGGTAGGCACTATTATTATCTTCACTTTATAAATGAAGAAACCAAAGCACAGACAGGTTAGGTGACTTGCCCAAGACTCATAGAACCAGTGAGCAGATATGACCCCAGACTTTCTGACTACAGAACCTGGGCTTTTCACTGCCACGGGACAAGGTGAGCTAAGTAAAAAGTGCACTGAAACGTTGTTTGCTCTGAAACTGTGGGGACTCTGAGATACCTTCCTTTCAATCTGACCAGTTAGCCTGCTGCAGACACACACACACACACACACACACACACACACACACACACATCCTCTAACAGAGAGATAATACCTGTAGAATAGGAAACAGACCTACAGACCTTTTATTTACTCACAAAGCACCTTGCGTGAGTTCCCCACACTGAATTCTCCGGATGGACCTGAGCCACATGAAAGGAACAGAAACCTTGAAATTATGAAACTAAGAGTTTATATAGGAGCTTTTGACCCATTTGCCCCTCCTCCTGCTCAGAGAGACAGAAGAGACCTTTGCTCTGGAATGCAAACCAGTCATCTCTGTGGGTAGCGGGGAGAGGAAGGTCTCTACCTCCCTGGAATGTAAACAAATATCTCCAGAGAGATTTCTAAATCTCTCTTCAGGTCCAATTTAATTTCCAGGGCTTGTTTGCCATGCAATCACTTTTTTATACCCAGATGAACTACAATTTTTGACCAGAAAGCCCTGGGTGTATAGTAACCTGGAGATACTTGTGGAGAGTTGTTTCCTGACAGTGTATATCTAGTGGAGCCTTCTTGACTACCCATCTCACCCTGTGCTCTCTCATGCATGTGTTCCCTGTCATATGATTGTCAGGCCCTAAGCAGGCCAGGCACCCATCTTATGTGTCTTGTACCTCTTAGAGCGGAAGGGTAGCAATGAATTGAATTATGCACACACACACACACACACACACACACAGTGAAGAAAGTGCACCACTAAAGCAATTTGTGTGAGTGTCCCATGTGCTAAAAAATTTCAGTTCTTCATGAAATGGTCAGTGGTCTTTGGTCTTGCTGAGTGTCTGTGACCCCAGTTCTAGGTGCTTCTTGCCCCTGAAGAGGCTCAGCCCAGCTCAGTTCCTCGTGGTTTGCCTAGAGATTTCATGGGACCAGGAAACGCTGATATAAAATCCCTTCGCCAACAGTCAGGAGACTGGGTGCTACCCCGGTTCTTTGTCACCCAACAATGAGACTTTCACAAGTCACTGAAATGCCCTGAGCCTTGATCTACTCGTCAGGAAAGGGAGATACTTGGACCAGACCTCTCACCTTAGAGAAGAAGAAAGGACTGCACCCACTAAGACGCCCTCAGAGACCATTCCGCTAACTAAAAAGAGGGAAAGTTGGCAAGGTGTCAGGAAAGAAACAATTGTTATTTCTACCAATTGTTATTTCTACCACAGAAGAGAGAAATTCAGACCAGAAGTGAAGGAGATGCCCTAGTAGAAACACTGGGAATAATCAAAAGGAGATGGGTCAAATGAATTAAAATGAAGCTACCCTAAATTCCTTTAGGTAGTGACACGGGAAGAGCTCCCAGATAGATCATTTGATGAAAAATCAAAGTACATGACAGTGGGATGGTGTGCTTCTGTTTGCCTAAAAATGTGAGAAAGAACTATATGATGCATATTTTATTCTTTTTCTTCTTAATTTTTTGGAGGGATACACACAAAATTTATAACTTTGTTCATTCATGGGAGGGAAATTGAGTGGCAGGCAGAAAGGGTAAGAAGGAGACTTACTTTTGATAATAAAATGAATTTATTATTTTGAAATTTGAACCATACAAATGTATTCTATCTCCAAAACTTTGAGTAATAAAGAACAGAGTTGGGAAGCTTGGATTAGCACAGTGATTCCCCCAGTCTGCTTGTCTTGTCCTCTGGAGAAGACAGTCGGTCAAGACTGTCATTCAAGCCAGCTAAGTGCTTTAGACTGGATCTTGTGATCCACTCCCACCCATGCAACAAAGCACAATGACTGGGATGTCCTCTGATGCAGTGGCCTTTTGGTCATGACCTGGGCTCTGTTGTTTTGTTCACCGGGGATCCACAGGAGAATGACAACCTGAGATACTCAGCCTTCGTCTTGTTTGGCCAATTGGCTGCCTTTGCTGGGCGGAAATGGAAGACATTTTTCACCAGCCAGGTCAAGCAGACTCAAGATTCCCTCCTGATACATTTACAGGACAGAAATCCCCAGGTTGCCAAGGTAAGTCTGTGAGAGTCCCACCAGCTGTGCTAAAGCTCTGGCCATTCCTAAAAGGGGCTGCGGTGGTGCCCTGTTGCGCTGAGCCGCTAGACCTTTTCTGCCGGTTCCGTTAGGGACACTCAGAAGTGTATCCACGTGGGGTGTCTGGGTGGCTCAGCGGGTTAAAGCCTCTGCCTTCGGCTCTGGTCATGAGCCCAGGGTCCTGGGATCAAGCCCCGCATCAGGCTCTCTGCTCAGCAGGGAGCCTGCTTCTCTTCCTCTCTCTCTCTGCCTGCCTCTCTGCCTACTTGTGATCTCTGTCTATCAAATGAATAAATAAAACCTTAAAAAAAAAAAAAGAAGAAAAGAAGTGAATTCCCAGGGACTCATCTCTCTCTGAGCCAGCGGGCTCTTTCGCATCTGCTCCTGCCCCATGGGCCTGATCCAGTGCCTGCCAGAGGTAGATAAACTCAGGTTACTGGAGTGTTGGGGGCAGAGAGGCCCTAATTTGGGTCGAATTTGTGGGGCAGTAGCCCACATGACGAGGACATGAGCTCATGCCAGCTAGCTTCTGTCACTGCGTCTGGCTTCTCAATCCCCTCTAGAGCTTTTGTTTTATTCTTAGAGAAAACATGTCCTAACAGGGTTGGATCTACGTAGGTTTTCAAAAACCACCGAGAGTGAAAGGTTCCACTAAACCGCTTGTCTTTTTTAAATAGTGCACACGAGGAGGCGCCTGGGTGGTTCAGTGGGCTAAAGCCTCTGCCTTTGGCTCAGGTCATGATGCCAGGATACTAGGATCAAGCCCTCAGGCCATGATCCCAGGGTACTAGGATCGAGCCCTGCATCGGGCTCTCTGCTCAGCAGGGAGCCTGCTTCCTCCTCTCTCTCTGCCTGCCTCTTTGCCTACTTGTGATCACTGTCTATCAAATAAATAAATAAAATCTTAAAAAAAAAAGGTTAAAAAATAAATAAATTAGTGCACACGAGAGAGAGAAAGAGAAAGAGAGAGAGAGAGAATGAATTTGGGAATTTAGGAATCCAGAACTACTTTTGATGGGATGATAACCGGTGGTAAACTGTAAAGTGTTGCTCTCCTCACCAGCCCCAACTTATAGACATGGTTATTTTAGAAGCAAAATCCTTTAAGGCTGATGTCTTCAGACTTTCTGGAAGTTACTTTCATACCCTCAGTGGCCCCCAGACCACAGATCCGGTGCAGTGCTCTTCCTCAGTTGGATTCTAGAACTCTCTAATGTTTTTGACAATAAGATGGTAATATTATTTTTCTTAGGCTTGCAAAACAACATTTCGAGCCTGTTCTCCATATCTGAAAGAAAGAAAGGAAACCGGCTTCCAGACCGAAGAAGATCAAAGGAACCCTAAACTCTGCCGGCAGCTGGTGAGTGAGAGAAGGTGGGAGAGAATTCTCCCAGAGGTCCCCGCCCTCCTGGTGATAACCCAGAGGGTGGGCAGCCACACTTGGGGGTTACTCCCCATAAAAGAACTCAGGCCAATTGTGTTTCCCTTGTAACTAACCTGTCATGCAATGTAAATGACAAAACGCCCAGAGGATTACACACAAAATCTATTGGCACTCTTAGTGTAGACCATTAGATGAACACAGGCCATGATCTGAGAGTCTGAAGACTGATGGTCCTCATGCTTTGCCTTTGACAACTGCCAAAGAGCTGTGGTGAACCCGTCCCTCACGAGCGCTTTTGCTGATTTCTTTCAGAGCCACTATCATCCAGAGCTCCTGCAGTTCTTCTATGCAAATAAGATTCTGTAAACACAGAGCCGCAGGGAAATTGTTCCAGTGAGCACCTTGCTGGGGGGCTGATAATCCCCCCTCTTTTAACTCTTCGGATGCTTCTGCTTGCCTCTTGGGATTGTAATAGAAAACGGGATGCTGGGAGAACAATTGATGGCAATTGCATGGAATTGTATGATTCTATCCGAAGTAAATTCTCAATTGCTTTTATGTATCTCATTTCCTCCCCATGCAAATTTGATGAGAAGGTACCTGCTTTGTTGAAAACATATGTAGATTCGGTGCTTATTGTTCTTTTTGCTGCTTAAGTTCGTCTCTGTCACCTATCTTGTATTTTTTATTTTATTTTTAATTTCTGAGGTTTAGGAGAATATTACCTCAAGTGATTTTTTTAAATCTGTCATTGATACTTCGCAGTTTGTTATGGATGACTTTATTGGCAGGATCTATTTAAAGTTGGTAAAAGGCCCAAGAAGGGGGTTTGGAGACTACCTTTAGCTTCTCATAATCTTCAACAGTCATTGCCTCCAGGATCATCCCAAACACAAATTAATAAAGAGAAAAAAAATCTAGAAAGTGTGTGTTGAAAAACCTCAGTCTAACAGTAATGTATGGAATAATAAGTAACATTTATAGACAATGTTTATTGGACACTAAGCGCTTTGCAAGTATTATTTAATACTTACAACAACCCTATGAGAAAGGTACTATTATTATCCTCATTTTCCAGGTGAGAAAAACTAAGGCACAGGGAAATTAAGTAGCTTGCCCCAGATGACCCGGTGAGAGACGGAGCTGGAATTCAAGCCAGGACCATCTGACTTCTGGAGCCCATATTCAATCACCATATGATTCTGCCTCAATGTAGAATAATTGACAGATGGATAGAAACGTAAAAAAAAAGACAAAACAAAACAAATAAAAAAAAAAAAACAAATACTCAGCTTCTGCTCTATTTAACTCAGTTAACTTTTGCTTTTATATGTACTAAGTACACATCTCTATTAATTTAATTGGTGGTCTAAGTATATATTTTTACTTGTCACCTCTTGGCTAATTATGTCAATTTTTTTGGCAGTCAATTCTAATTCTAGGAGGGATCACATGGCTCATGTAAAAAGTTTCAAGAAAAACCTCAGCCCCTCCTACTTTCCCTCCAACCAGTTTGCCTTCCAAGCTTTTCCTATAGAAATCCTGATATTATCACCAAACTTGGCATTCAGGCCATACGGGACGACTGTGTCCAGTTTGGGAAATGGAAAACACAAGTGGATCATAAGTGCTGCAGAGGGATCTTAATATTGTTCTGAAAACTGGGAACTTAATCTTCCGCTCTAGCTTTCCGGAGACGGGACTGTATAACACAGATGAAGGGTGTCTCCTAGGCGAGACAAGAATGTGGCAGATGGCAGAAGGGGAAGCAGGAACCAGGCATGAACGAATTTTCTTCCTTCCTATTTTGAGGCTGGGGTACCTGACCCAGGGACTCGGGAATGACAAAATGACTCTGGAGCAGGCGGGATGGTTCTGAGCTGAGAGCCCTCTCCCTTCCCAGATGTTGGCCTGTTTGAAACTATGTTGCGAGGTCCCAGTGGAATCTGATGCTTTCTGCTAAGCCATCAGTGAGTGGCCTGAGAAATAATTGCATCTGGCCAGCATTCGACAAAGCTGGAGGTGGAATGGGGCAGGCAGGTTATGTGCACTAGAGCAGAGACATCTATGTACTTAATGCCCCTTAGTTGGATAAAATTGTGGAAGATGCTATTGAATTGGCTTTAAGATTTGGATGGACTGTTCACTTGGGTGGCCTCCAATGAATCATGTCTCCTAACACTCATGCCCTGTGTAGACCCTTCCCATTGCATCTGGGCTGGCTTTGTGGCCCACTTTAACCACGAGAATGTGCTGGAAATACCAGTATGCCAATTTCAGGCTACTCTGTAAGAGCCCTGGCAGCTTCCTTTTTTGTGCTCCAGGTGAAGCCAGCCGCCATGTAAGACGCCAGATTACCAGGAACGAAGAAGAATGTCTGAGATCACCATTTTGGAGGAAAGACCAGGCTAACTGCATGGGATGCCATGTGGAGAGCTGAGGAACCCAATCCACAGTGAAGTCTGAGGTCCAGACGCGTGACTCACGTTGGCCGTTCCAGCCAGACTCCGGCTGTCCACGTGACCCAGCTGACACCAGCTGTCTCCATGAAGCCCACCCCAAGTTGCAAAATTGTAAGCAAGTGAATCAAATGATTGCTGTTTTAAATCGCTAACTTCTAGGATAGTTTGTCACTCGGCAATAAGTAACCAAAAGAGGTTCCTAATCACTAATTTTGTCATTTGGCCAGTTTTGTTTTGCTCTTAATAAGTCCTCTTTGAGTTTAAACTATATTTCTAGAAAGTTATATTATGATGGAATTCTGCGGTGAGAGCAAGGGATGCCTTTTTTTGGACCTTGTTGGACCTTTGGATGCCTTGTTCTCCTTTTTCTATCTCACCCTGTGCATCACAGCACCCAGCACGCAGCAGCTGATCCAGAAACATTTGCTCAATGACTAAATAGTTGCAAATTGTAGCGGGAACAGCGTCCAAAGTAGTTTGCTACTCTGGGCTCTTAGCCATGGGCTCACACTCTTCCTTTCCAGCTTTTTCTTCTGTTACTCTTTTTGCTTTAGCCAAGTTTGGCTCCTCTCTCTTTAAACCCTTCTCGCTCTCTTATGCTCCTTTGCCTTTGCTCAGTCTCCTTCTTTTGCTTTGAATTCCCTCCCCCCAAGCCATGCATACACACATCTCAGGTGTATATCTTCTCTGTACTCTAAGACTGATCATTGCCCGATCCCCTCAATCAGGAAAGAGCTCGCATCTCTGAATTCCCAGAACATTCTAGCAGTCTTATGCTGCTTGACATGTTTGATCTCTTTGAAAGTTTTTACCTCCATGTCTTTTTCCCCCTGGTTCAAGGGAAGCTGCTGAAGGAGGGATCCTACACAGTCTAGCTTTGTGTCTGTCACATGACCTCAAAGGTACTCAGTAAGTGCTTAGTAAATAAATGTGGATTGGGGAGGAAAAAGTCCGGAAGTCATCTGAAGCTACTCCCCCTTGGGAGAAGCCCATTTTGTCAAATGAGGACCATCACTTCTCTCCTTATAACCCATCTGCAGGTGACTTATATGCTTGTGTACTTAAGTAACCCTTTCCCTGTAAGATACCTGTTAATTTGCTAATCTAAAGATAAGGCTTTGACATTGTTTTACTTTTAAACACTAGATATGCAACAGTTGAGTGAATTAAAGAAAGAAAAATGAATGTTCAGGTGTTACCGTGCTATGTGCTCAGGGTAGAGATGCACATAAAACATGGTCCCTACTTCCCGTTGCCCGCATGATGAACCTTTCTTAAAGGGAAGGAGAAAGGAGAAAAAGACAAAGAAGGAAGTAGAAAATCTAACAAGTAATCAGTACTGGAACTCACTGTGAACAGAATCCAGTGGAAATCCGGTCCATAATGTTGAGTTATAAAAAGCACGAGTATGTTTTACAAGGACAGAAATAGCAGCTGTGTGGACAGCTAGCAGATAGTGCTAGAAATAAGGCAAATGTGTATTTGTGCTTTTCTGCATTTTCCAGGTTTTCAGCAATAAGCATGTATTACTTTTGCAATCATAGAACACATGCAAAAATGCTCTTTAAAGTAAAAATGGACTCCGTATTGGTGTGTCAGGGGCATGCATGCTGCTTATTGGTGTGTAAGGTGGCATGCTTCGGAGAGCCTGGGATGGTTTTCACTCGCTCTCAGTAGCATGTGTTTGCCTTTGTCTTTTTGTGACATTGTCGTTTTAGCCTATCAATGACAAATAAAGTGACTTATGATTGATTATCAGTGTATTTATGTTTACTGACTTTACATTCTTTTGGTATGACCATAAGAGAATAAGTCTTTTGTTCCTGTTTTTATTTATGTGTTAAACACTCTTAGAAAAACCTCGGGGTTCTAGAGAAACTCAGTGCATCCCAGTTTACTGAAGAAAGAGAGTTTGATATTTCAAAGGCCCCTTTAAATTATCGAGTTAAGCAGACTCCCAAGTCTGACATGTAAGATTCTTTGTAACAGACACCAACTTATGATTTCCCTTGGCTCTTCCTAAATTCCTCCTACCTGGAATGCTTCACCCTCCATTTGCTTGTTTCTATCCGCCATTCACTGGGTAGATAGACCATTCCGAGTGTCCTTCTTTTTCAGAGGTAGGGCAGAGCAATTAGGAAGATGGGAAGATGGGTCCTGATCAGGCCCTCCTCATTGTGAATCTGGCTTTGCCACTTACTGGTATAAACTTGGGTAAGGCAGCCTTCCAAGCCTCAGTTTGCTGATCAGTGAAATGGACACAATAATCCTACCCATAGTGGTGGCATGCTACAAAGATTCAATTGTACAACATCAAATACTTTGCATAGTGCTTGACACATAGAAGATGCTCAGGAAATGTTGGTTAATTTTGCTCCTGACCTCCAACCAGCTCTCCAGTTCTTGTTCCTTCTTTTCTCGATGCTGCCCAGGTCTCCAGCGAGGCCCATTCTGGCTTTCAGTGTGGGATCGGAATGTCATCTTGATCCTCCCCAATGAGAGATTGTAGTCCTAGAGTCAGCTCTGCCTCTTTATCCTCCCCATGTCCTGAGGACTGTAGCGTTGAGCCTTGCCGACCATGGGTGTTCAGTAAAGAATACTGAATTTGTGGAGTTGCTAATGCTGGTGTCTGGCCTGAGCATGAAATTAGCACCTCGCGGTTGGCTTTAGAATGGCCCAATACATTTTCATAAGAATGAGAATCGTAACTGAACGAGAAGAGCTAGTCGTTTTCTCCCACTGGGCTCTTGTCTGGGTGTCATGTGTGTTCAGAGCAAGAGCAGTGGCTTTTTATGCTCCAGAGCCGGCTTCAATAGGCTCTTTTCATTCTGTCTGAAAAGCCCCAGTGGCTCCGTTAATAATTCTGTGTTGTATCTTTTGGGTGATCTCTTGTTAATAATTAACACCCCACCTCTGTTTCGGAGTGTGATTACTGTAATCATGTTCCTTTCAAGCTAATGAATTTCCTGCAGCACTTTGCAAATGTTAACCAGGTAATGGCCCAAATGTCTCCCTGCAAGAAGAAAATGTTTTTCAGAAATGTAGATCAGAGAGTTAAAATGTCATTTCCTAAGCCATGCGGCTAGAGGCACATGCCTCTGCCCGGGCGAAAATGCGATAGGAAATCCAGGGCCTTTTGACATGCTTGCATGGACTGACTACATCAGCAGGCATGGTTTCCTTGGAGAAGGAAAGCAGCTCAGTCCCAAAGGTGACGTCACGTGTGCTGGAAGGACACATGAGCTGGTGTCAGGAAACCTGGTTTTGCACCAGTTACCTTCATCAAGTCACGTAACCTCTCAGCACCTTAGGGTTTTCATCTGTGAAACGGGAGGAAGAACCTACCACCCAAGGTCCCGTGATGGTAAAATGAGACAGTGGGTGGAAATGGTACGGTGTTAGCCCATGATGAAGTGTGCTCATGGGCACAGTAGCCACTGATCAATGGAGCCTTTTATACAAGGGAATTTGTGGGAAGAAGGAAAGACAGCATTAACAGAGACCCCAATTTAAAAGTAGTATCCAATATTAAAAATCTTAAAAATATAAAAACAGTAAAATTGAGTATAATACATTGTTCTATATATCAGGGTGCTTCTCCAGATAACAAGTACCCCTGTCACAATGTGAATTAGGATCAGTTTACAAGTTTAACATGTATCTATTTTATATAATTTAGTTACACCCAAACTTTCTGGATAAGATATAATGACTAACATTTGAAAATTGTGGAAACCCCGGCAACTCTTTCTTTGGACTATTCTAATATTGGGATCAAATTCGATTCAAGATACTTGGGACTCTGTTAGGGAAAAATGAAAATCTTGATCTGTTTGGATTTAAAACTCTTAGAGTGACAGTTTATTTACTAACCCTTTACAAGCCTGAGGAGACTAAACCCAGGGATCTGAGATTTTCCTGACCAGCAAGAAAATCTATACAATGTGCAGAGTCCTGGATTAAATGAACTCAAAGCAAATGAGCTCATTTTCTGACTTTATTGAGCAGATTCAATTTTATAAACAAAAATTGTATGACTTAAGAGAGCAAATCCAATTTCCTGTATTAAATAGGTGTTACTTGTTTAGATGGTTAACCTATCTTATTTGTAAGTGTTGCTTCTCATTAACTCTCAGTAAACAAAGAAAGGATTTTATCATGAAGATAATAGATTATGCACAGTTAAGTCTGTTTAATCTTTTTTTTTTAAGATTTTATTTATTTATTTGACAGAATGAGAGAGATCACAAGTAGGCTGAGAGACAGGGGTAAGCAGGCTCCCTGCTGAGCAGAGAGCCCAATGTGGGGCTTGATCCCAGGACCCTGAGATCATGACCTGAGCCAAAGGCAGAGGCCTAACCCACTGAGCCACGCAGGCCCCCCCAAGTCTGTTTAATCTTAAAGGCCCTTTGACCTACCTAGATCTGTGTTTATACTTCAACGTAATTCTTGGTTGACCTCCTTGCTCTTACCTTTCCCAAGAAAAGGAAAGGCAGGCCTAGCATTTTGGATTTCACATGACTTTTTCTTAAATCTGATTTAAACATGTATGCCAATAAATGAAGTCAGCCTGAGAAATCAAAGCCTGGTATCTTTTGGTTTCCCCAGTGTTGGCTCAGGACGGTCCCCACCTGGCTTCAAGGAAAGCTCTTCTCTTCTGACTAGAATGGGGAGGAGTCTGAGGGGGAGGATGGTTTACGTTCTCTCTCAGGGGCATCCAGATCTCACCCTCTCTGCTTCTACGTGTTCCTAGAGCTGGAGCCTTTGGTGTAGCCAGCGGGAGGCAGCTGAAGGCAGAGGGTTCAGCTTTCGGATGTCCTTCCCCCTCAGAGTTCTTTAGTAAGAGATCATTAACGGTGATCTCTCTCAACTAATGAAAGCAACAGTCAGTAGATTTTTTTTTTTTTTCATGGCTGGGCAGAAAACAACCATTAAAAATAAACCAAACAAACAAGCAAACAAAAAAACACCAACTGACACCCCCCTTGCCTCATTTCCGGCTCACGCACCCACTCTCCTTCTGGCCCTTCCCTGGCTCTACTGAGGGAATACATCCAACTTAGCGAGGTGTGGTATCTTGTAGAAAAACACGGTGGGCAAGGCGTCACGTGCAGCTTACTGTAAGGCAGGGGTTGGCGACTGTGGGATTTTCCTGCTGGGTGTGTGCCGTGAGGTGATGGAAGTTATTTCTGGCCTCAAAGCTTAACTCCTCCCTCCCCATGACGAACACAGCCCCCGCTAGGGCCCCACCAGGCACACTCCCTTGTTCTTCTGAATACGGCCCTTTCACTGGAGGCTGGCTCTGTCAGGGAACACGAATCACTCAGCTGAGCCTTCACACTTCTCTGCTGGGTGATGTCGCTGTAGCCCGTCACCTCCTGCAGCAGTTTGGAAGGCTGCCTCGAGGACTCCGGAAACCTCCTGCTGCCCTGCCCTTTCTAAAACTATCCAGAAGTGTGGCTGGTATCATCGGGGCCCAGAACCTGCAAGGAGGGCAAGTGCCGTCAGTCAGGATCACTGTCCCCGGCCCCTCACGCCATCGGACTGTCATTTCTAACCAGACGGAAGCACATTGCTTTGCTTGACTTCTCAGACACTTCAACACAACCAAAGGCCGTTCATTCCGAAAAGCTGTGGAGTGTGTGTGTGTGTGTGTCTGTGTGTGTGTGGTGAGTGCGTGCATACAAGTATGTTTGGGCAACTGCAGAGAGAAAACCTCTTCCAAGTACATACCACTTATCAAAGAACCAGGGTTTCAAAGAGGTTGCTGGAAAGTTCGGTGGAGCTGTTTATAAACCTCCACCATCCCACTACCACGGAGAGCCCAATATTGGCAGGGTTCCTTTTATTTTATAGATTTTTTTTTCCCTGAGGCACTTGAGATTTTAACCGTTAGGCTCTAAGAATCAATCTCTTCTCTGATCCATCATTACAGTCTTCAGAATTCAGGGCCCTTAGAGACCCGCTAGGGCCTTTGCGTTCTTTGGATCTCTTCAAGAAGGTGTTCTCTGTTAAGATCTGCCCATCTCTTCCTGGGCCCCGCACTTGGAAGCGGTGCCTGACAGATTCTGCTTCCATAGCAGTCTGGTGTAATGGCCTCTGTGGAATGCTCCTGGGAGGAGAGGTGCTCTGTGTGGGATTATGGCTCATGGAGATGTCAGCAGGCAGCCTCAGCTGGACAGGGAGGAAGGCACACGTGAAGTTCTCCTCACTTCTCTGTACGGCTCTACGACACCCCTTCTCACTTCCTTCTTCTCAAAGTCCTGCTCATCAGGGGCCCTCGGTCCTGTATAAATACCCTTAGCAGCCCCCTAGCCTGCTGTCCTGGACCACGGACCCAGGCAGAGAGTTTGTGTGTGGGTCCCCCGCTCAGCATCGGGTGGTGGCAGCAGCCCCATATGAGTTTGAATTTGCTTTTCTTGTCCTGGCCTTGACTTCTCTCTGCTAAGATCAATAACGAATCATTGCATATCCTATTTTGTGAAAACCCTGTTCTCTCTGACCTTCAAGGGGTCAGAGTTGTTGGAGCAACAATCCCTGAGCAAGGTTGTGTGGTAACCCTCTTCCCAGGGATACTTGTATTGTGTCCTGG